AGCAACGATGACCAAGTTACGTGGTCAGTTACCAGCACCGAGGACTTATTTACATGGTCAGTTACCAGCAACGAGTACCACGTTATATGGTCAATTACCAGCAACGATGACCAAGTTACGTGTTCAGTTACTAGCAATAAGGACCAAGTTACATGGTCAGTTACCAGAAACAAGGACCGAGTTACATGGTTAGTTACCAGCACCGAGGAACACGTTACATGGTCAGTTCCCAGCACCGAGGACTTATTTACATGGTCAGTAACCAGCACCGAGGACCTAGTTACATGGTTAGTAACCAGCACCGAGGACTTATTTACATGGTCAGTAACCAGCACCAAGGACCACGTTACATGGCCAGTTAAAAGCACCGAGGACCAAGCCACATGATATGTAACCAGCACCGAGGACCAAGATACATGATATGTTACCAGCACCGAGGACCAAGTCACATGGTATGTTACCAGCACCGAGGACTTAGTTAAATGGTCAGTTACCAGCAACGAGTACCACGTTATATGGTCAATTACCAGCACCGAGGACCAAGTCACATGGTATGTTACCAGCACCGAGGATCACGTTACATGGTCAGTTAAAAGCACCGAGGTCCACGTTACATGGTCAGTTCCCAGTACCGAGGATCACGTTACAAGGTCAGTTACCAGCACCTAGGACTTAGTTACATGGGCAATTACCAGCACCGAGGACCAAGTCACATGGTATGTTACCAGCACCGAGGACCAAGTCACATGGTATGTTACCAGCACCGAGGACCGCGTTACCTGGTCAGTTACCAGAAACGAAGACCACGTTATATGGTCAATTACCAGCACCGAGGACCAAGCCACATGATATGTAACCAGCACCGAGGACCAAGATACATGATATGTTACCAGCACCAAGGACCACGTTACATGGCCAGTTAAAAGCACCGAGGACCAAGTCACATGGTATGTTACCAGCACCGAGGACCTAGTTACATGGTCAGTTCCCAGCACCGAGGACTTATTTACATGGTCAGTTACCAGCGCCGAGGCCTTAGTTACATGGTCAGTAACCAGCAACAAGGATCAGGTTACGCGGTCAGTTACCAGCACCCAGGACTTAGTTACATGGTCAGTAACCAGCAACAAGGATCAGGTTACGCGGTCAGTTACCAGCACCTAGGACTTAGTTACATGGGCAGTTACCAGCAACGAGTACCACGTTACATGGTTAGTAACCAGCACCGAGGACCTAGTTACATGGTTAGTTACAAGCCCCGAGGACTTAGTTACATGGTCAATTACCAGCACCGAGGACCAAGTCACATGGTATGTTACCAGCACCGAGGACCAAGCCACATGATATGTTACCAGCACCGAGGATCACGTTACATGGTCAGTTCCCAGCACCGAGGACTTATTTACATGGTCAGTAACCAGCACCAAGGACCACGTTACGTGGTCAGTTACCAGAACCAAGGACCGAGTTACATGGCAGTTACCAGAAACAAGGACCGAGTTACATGATCAGTTACGAGCACCGAGGAACAAGTTTTGTGGTTAGTAACCAGCAACGAGAACTAAGTTAGATGGTCAGTTACCAGCACCGAGGACCACGTTACATGGTCAGTTAAAAGCACCGAGGACCACGTTACATGGTCAGTTACCAGTACCGAGGATCACGTTACATGGTCAGTTACCAGCACCGAGGACCAAGCTAAGCCACATGATATGTTACCAGCACCGAGGACCAAGTCACATGGTATGTTACCAGCACCGAGGACCAAGTTACGTGGTCAGTTACCAGCAACGATGACTTAGTTACATGGTCAGTAACCAGCAACAAGGACCGAGTTACATGGTCAGTTACCAGCACCGAGGACTTAGTTACATGGTCAGTAACCAGCAACAAGGACCAAGTTACATGGTTAGTTACAAGCACCGAGGACTTAGTTACATGGTCAGTTACCAGCAACGAGGACCACGTTATATGGTCAATTACCAGCAACGATGACCAAGTTACGTGGTCAGTTACTAGCAATAAGGACCAAGTTACATGGTCAGTTACCAGAAACAAGGACCAAGTTACATGGTTAGTAACCAGCACCGAGGACCGAGTTACATGGTCAGTTACCAGCACCGAGGACTTAGTTACATGGTCAGTTACCAGCAACGATGACCAAGTTACGTGGTCAGTTACCAGCACCGAGGACCGAGTTACATGGTCAGTTACCAGCACCGAGGACCACGTCACATGGTCAGTTAAAAGCACCGAGGACCACGTTACATGGTCAGTTACCAGCACGGAGGACTTAGTTACATGGTCAGTTACCAGCAACGAGGACCACGTTATATGGTTAGTTACCAGCACCGAGGACTTAGTTACATGGTCTGTTACCAGCACCGAGGACCACGTTACATGGTCGGTTACCAGCACCGAGGACTTAGTTACATGGTCTGTTACCAGCACCGAGGACCACGTTACATGGTCAGTTACCAGCACCGAGGACCTAGTTACATGGTCAGTTACCAGCAACAAGGACCAAGTTACATGGTCAGTTACCAGAAACAAGGACCGAGTTACATGGTTAGTAACCAGCAACAAGGACCAGGTTACGTGGTCAGTTACCAGCACCGAGGACCACGTTACAGGGTCAGTTACCAGCACCGAGGACGTAGTTAGATGGTCAGTTACCAGCACCGAGGACCACGTTACAGGGTCAGTTACCAGCACCGAGGACGTAGTTAGATGGTCAGTTACCAGCACCGAGGACCACGTTACATGGTCAGTTACCAGCACGGAGGACTTAGTTACATGGTCAGTTACCAGCCCCGCGGACTTAGTTACATGGTCAGTTACAAGCACCGAGGACTTAGTTACATGGTCATTTACCATCAACGAGGACCACGTTATATGGTCAATTACCAGCAACGATGACCAACTTACGTGGTCAGTTACTAGCAATAAGGACCAAGTTACATGGTCAGTTACCAGCACCGAGGACCACGTCACATGGTCAGTTAAAAGCACCGAGGACCACGTTACATGGTCAGTTACAAGCACCGAGGACCAAGTTACATGGTCAGCTACCAGCATCATGGGCCAAGTCACATGGTCAGTTACAAGCACCGAGGACCGAGTTACATGGTTAGTAACCAGCACCGAGGACCGAGTTACATGGTCAGCTACAAGCACCGAGGACCGAGTTACATTGTCAGTTACCAGAAACAAGGACCGAGTTACATGGCAGTTACCAGAAACAAGGACCGAGTTACATGATCAGTTACGAGCACCGAGGAACAAGTTATGTGGTTAGTAACCTAACGAGAACTAAGTTAGATGGTCAGTTACCAGCACCGATCTTTTTACTCAACTATGATAAGTCATTAAATATATCAAAATATTTATTCGGTTTCTTATTTATATCAACATTCTTGCCACTTCCTGCCCGCTTGCCTATAAACATTTTTTCCTCGGCTGAACAATCAGAGTAATTTTTAGGTCCCTGGATCGTTCCTTAGCAGAGATATTGAAAATGGAAATCATCTAACAGTTTTTATACAAATTTATAAGACGTAGGGTATTGCCTCACTGACAGGAGATCGACAGGTTCAGAGCAACCTTTGCAGGCAGATATTAGCTACGACTCGAAAATTGGAACCAATTATGTTATGATTTCTGTGTGTAGTGGCCCCCATAGTCACATCTACTAAGAAATGTGTTTAAATAGTTTAAAAGTGTGTCATAAATTCCTTATCCATTTCTACCTAATCGCCAGCAGATGTCGAAATCATTTAACCTGATAGGTTGAGAAGACGTTTAAGGCATCAAACAAACAAATATACAATTAAATATACAACTAACAAATATTTAACTAACAAATATACAACTAAATATACAACTAACAAATATAAAACTAACAAATATACAACTTAATATACAACTTACAAATATTTAACTTATAAATATAAAACTAACAAATATACAACTAAATATAAAACTAACAAATATAAAACTAACAAATATACAACTAAATATACAACTAACAAATATAAAACTAACAAATATACAACTAAATATACAACTTACAAATATAAAACTAACAAATATACAACTAAATATAAAACTAACAAATATAAAACTAACAAATATACAACTAAATATACAACTAACAAATATAAAACTAACAAATATACAACTAAATATAAAACTAACAAATATAAAACTAACAAATATACAACTAAATATACAACTAACAAATATAAAACTAACAAATATACAACTAAATATAAAACTAACAAATATAAAACTAACAAATATACAACTAAATATACAACTAACAAATATAAAACTAACAAATATACAACTAAATATAAAACTAACAAATATAAAACTAACAAATATACAACTAAATATACAACTAACAAATATAAAACTAACAAATATACAACTAAATATAAAACTAACAAATATAAAACTAACAAATATACAACTAAATATACAACTAACAAATATAAAACTAACAAATATACAACTAAATATACAACTAACAAATATAAAACTAACAAATATACAACTAAATATACAACTAACAAATATAAAACTAACAAATATACAACTAAATATACAACTAACAAATATAAAACTAACAAATATACAACTAAATATACAACTAACAAATATAAAACTAACAAATATACAACTAAATATACAACTAACAAATATAAAACTAACAAATATACAACTAAATATACAACTAACAAATATAAAACTAACAAATATACAACTAAATATACAACTAACAAATATAAAACTAACAAATATACAACTAAATATACAACTAACAAATATAAAACTAACAAATATACAACTAAATATACAACTAATAAATATAAAACTAACAAATATACAACTAAATATACAACTAACAAATATAAAACTAACAAATATACAACTAAATATACAACTAACAAATATAAAACTAACAAATATACAACTAATACATATACAACTAACAAACACAAAGATTAATGTTATAACTGCTGTTTCACATTAAAGTCACGTTGTTGGTGCTTGAAATCATTGTTATATGATACCCTGTTTTGATAATATATCACGAATATTTATAGAAAGCCATCAAACAGGAGATATATCAATGAATAAGCTATCAGTTAATTCAACTAAATTAAAGAAATTGAAGGTTTTTATGTCCTTTAAAAGATATTCACAAACATGAAATTTTCTAATAATGCATAACTTTACTTGTTTCAAAATACAATTTTAGTTACACAAACCATTACCGATCACGCCCAAAATTAAAAAACAAAGATTTCCCCTCTGCTCTTTGGTAATACGGATATTAAGCAATCGTTCGTCCTAACGTTTAATTCCGTAGAGACTGACAGACGACCTGTGTGATCCCTTTAATTTACTAAACCCCTACTTATCGTGCGTAACTGCTCTACCATGACATCCCCTCTTCCAACCACCGATTTGTTTAAAAACCTTTCAGAGTACAAAGATTTTTTTTTCATTTCAGGAAGTAAACAAACCAGCTTTCGTTTCTAGATGGTATGTGAGTTCATGCAATATGGGACATATTTCTTAGTAAATACTAAGTCCTGCGGTTATCAATGTGCTTTCATGTAGAATTATTTCATTTCCTTGTGCGATAGGAATTTCGACAGTTTGATATTGCTTATTAGTTTGTCCACTGGTTACGTTGTCCCTGTTTCTTGCCAGGAGTACGTGCAATTACCTAGATTTACCTCGTGGGTGTCGTCAATGAGAACTCATTTCATCACAGGGGCGAAAGTTTGTCATTTTGTCTTGTTATGTACATTCTTTTTCTATCCTTAATCTGTTTTGAAATGGACCAACATTATATAAGTTGAAATCAGTAACCCGTAGTTTCACGAGAGAATACAGGTCAAACTTTGGTTTTTGGAAATCGTTGAGGTTTTACTCCATGCTGACGTCTTTGAACTCGATTTCCGATTAGATTGCTGTCCGTTATCCTGATCTGCTGTCTTGTCAACAGTAGAGTCGTGTCCGTTCATACCAGTTATTGGGGAGAAATCTTCGGTTGTTTTAATGAGCGGAAGCGTAGCAAATTCATCCCTTGGTTCCTTCATCAGATTATCATTGGTACCAAGTAAGAAATAGGTATCCATGGCTCCTTTGCCTTTGACTTCTATAGGTCCTCTATCACGAAACTGGAATGTACCTCCTTCTAACCTCCTGAAAATATCCAAAGCAATCTTTGTTTCAGAATGCATAGATATATTGAAAACAAAATGATTATAAAATTGAAATAAAGTCAACAGAGATCTAACTTTAATATAACCATCCCGATCACTACCCGTTACCATTGACCCTTTCAGCCTTGACCGCTGACCATATAACCATCCCGATTCCCCTTTCACTACCCGTTACCATTGACCCTTTTAGCCTTGACCGCTGACCATATAACCATCCCGATCCCCCTTTCGCTACCCGTTACCATTGACCCTTTTAGCCTTGACCACTGACCAAAAACCTTCCCGATCCCCCTTTCACTACCCGTTACCATTGACCCTTTTAGCCTTGACCGCTGACCATATAACCATTTCGATCCCCCTTTCACTACCCGTTACCATTGACCCTTTTAGCCATGACCGCTGACCATATAACCATCTCGATCCCCTTTTCACTACCCGTTACCATTGACCCATTTAGCCTTGACCGCTGCCATATAACCATCTCGATCCCCCTTTCACTACCCGTTACCATTGACCCTTTTAGCCTTGACCGCTGACCATATAACCATTCCGATCCCCTTTTCACTACCCGTTACCATTAACCCTTTTAGCCTTGACTGCTGACCAGAATCTTCTTATAATGAAACTCAATGTTACTATGGGGTAAATATGAACTCTATTTGCGCAGGGGTTACTGCATTATCAACAGTTTTACTTCAAAAGCGGATGGTCGGATGTTACAGTGGATAACGCACTCTCCTTTTACTAAGACGGCCGGGGTTCAATGCCCCGGTCGGACGTAAAAGGTAGGGGGTCACCTGCCCGACCTTGTGGATTTCCGTCAGGTATTCCGGTTTTCTTCTCCACTTGAAGAATACCAGTGTAAACATCCGATCCAACAAGAGTGATTAGTATAAATAGCAGTACATCGTTTAATAACCATCGTAAAATACATAGTTTATATTTAAAAGTGGTCAAGTGCGATCGGACCATGACCTTTGACCCTTTTAACTTGAACTTTGATCACCAACATCTAATCAGCTGTATATTTATATGATACTATACTATGGCGTAAATAGTGGTGAAGTATGATCTTTGACATGACCTTTGACCCTTTAAACTTGGCAAATGATCACCGAAATCTTATCAGTAAAGAACATGATTTAACCACATTGTGATTTCAGGAGTTCATCTTTTACGCAAGCTTTTTACAACGTTTAGACTCAAACACAGACGCACACACAACTACACACATTGACGCACTAAAAACTACAAATTACTATACTTTCTGTCTCTTCTTTAAAACAAGTCGGATATCATAATATGTAGACAATTAAAGTAACATCCCATGCATGTAATTCATTGATAATTTGATTCCAACATGGACCCGTACTCTTGCAAAGCAAGTTTGGTGAAAAAAGAAATATCTGATTATAATAAGTACTGACATCCTCAAGTTACCCTGCATGGTTGGCAACCCACCCAAATGTTACCTACAACATGTTACCCTGCATGGTTGGCAATCCACCGAAATGTTACCTACAACATGTTACCCTGCATGGTCGGCAATCCACCCAAATGTTACCTACAACAAGGTACCCTGCATGGTTGGTAACCCACCCAAATGTTACCTACAACAAGTTACCCTGCATGGTTGGTAATCCACCCAAATTTTACCTACAAAAAGTTACCCTACATGGTTGGCAATCCACCCAAATGTTACCTTCAACAAGTTACCCTGCATGGTTGGCAATCCACCCAAATTTTACCTACAACAACTTACCCTGCATGGTTGGCAACCCACCCAAATGTTACCTACAACAAGTTACCCTGCAAGGTTGGCAACCCACCCAAATGTTACCTACAACATGTTATCCTGCATGGTTGACAACCCACCCAAATGTTACCTACAACAAGTTACACTGCATGGTTGGCAACCCACCCAAATGTTACCTACAACAAGTTGCCCTGCATGGTTGGCAACCCACCCAAATGTTACATACAACATGTCACCCTGCATGGTTGGCAATCCACCCAAATGTTACCTACAACAAGTTACCCTGCATGGTTGGTAATCCACCCAAATTTTACCTACAAAAAGTTACCCTACATGGTTGGCAATCCACCCAAATTTTACCTACAACAACTTACCCTTGCAGGGTTGGCAACCCACCCAAATGTTACCTACAACAAGTTACCCTGCATGGTTGGTAATCCACCCAAATTTTACCTACAAAAAGTTACCCTACATGGTTGGCAATCCACCCAAATTTTACCTACAAAAAGTTACCCTACATGGTTGGCAATCCACCCAAATTTTACCTACAAAAAGTTACCCTACATGGTTGGCAATCCACCCAAATTTTACCTACAACAACTTACCCTTGCAGGGTTGGCAACCCACCCAAATGTTACCTACAACAAATTACCCTGCATGGTTGGCAACCCACCCAAATGTTACATAAAACAAGTTACCCTGCATGGTTAGCAATCCACCCAAATGTTACCTACAACAAGTTACCCTGCATGGTTGGTAATCCACCCAAATTTTACCTACAAAAAGTTACCCTACATGGTTGGCAATCCACCCAAATTTTACCTACAACAACTTACCCTTGCAGGGTTGGCAACCCACCCAAATGTTACCTACAACAAGTTACCCTCCATGGTTGGCAATCCACCCAAATGTTACCTACAACAACTTACCCTGCATGGTTGGCAACCCACCCAAATGTTACCTACAACAAGTTGCCCTGCATGGTTGGCAACCCACCCAAATGTTACATACAACATGTCACCCTGCATGGTTGGCAATCCACCCAAATGTTACCTACAACATGTTATTGTCTGGACTAAATGACCTGTTTACTGCAGAGTATTCGATATCTAACAACTAACAATGTCACACACTTAACTACATATCCACTTGATCAGACTATTGTTGTAGATCACGTAGATAATAATAACTCTGTAATAAAGGGCTACTTGCTTGTGTAACTCAGTGTTTCCTGTCCTAATCATTAGGAGTCTCCCCATCATTCCGTAAATCTGTCCTTTGGCAGAGCCTTGAATGAGGACTCTGACTTGTGTTTATAACAAACGTGGACAATTTCAATCTCAAACCATATATCTCCTTCACATGTTACTGATTGGTGTCAATAACATCATTAGCGTAGTATTTCCATGTTTACCCACACGTGTCTTTCTACATGTACTGTCATGGGGTCAAAACATATTTCTAAAAAATAGTCGAGTATGACTATAAATAACAAGACATATTCAGTTTGTTTGCTACAAATTTTGAAAAGATTTAATTGTTAAATTAAAAATACAAACAACATACATTGACAATATATAATGTACGATTCAGTGTGTTGTTAATTGTGTGGCCTTATATTGCCATCAGATTATTATAAATCAACAAGTATAGTAACTCTTTAATTGTAACGGTAGTGCCCACTGATTGTCAGCTGACGTCATTGGTACTGAGACATTCAGAGTATCATGGAACATGGGACTTTAAGAAATCGAGACAAAATAGTTGCATTAAAATGATACTGCAAACAAACAAACAGGGAATAAATATCCAGATCATGCCAATAACCTAAATAATATGACTATGGTCATCTTTTTTCATGCTTATCAAACCTTCAATTAATAATAGGATGTGAACACAACCATTTTGTTTACTACGTCCCAGGCATGGCCCTCGGGCAACCAAATTGTATTCCTTGTTTGGTTCTTGGAAAACGTATATTTGATTATAGGTTTGAAATATCAACGATTCCGTGTTGGTCATTGTCACCCTGTGACCACCATTCCATTGGGAACAGGGCTAGTCGTGATAACAATAATGCATTCGACTCTTCATGTCCAGTAAATATATACAATATATTAAGATGGGATCCCAACTCTTCATGTTTCAATGATATGAACCAAGTGGCGAGGCTCGACCTTAAGGCCAGTTCTGATAACATGATTACGGCGTTGTGATTTTGACAATATCCATGTTGTTACCGTAATATAGTTCCTTTGAGTGTGGTCAGACACGGGAGCAAACTCTGATTTTATCTAAGTATCCACAGCACTTGTATCAGGATGTTTACATCGCAGTGTCATTCGTTTCCCTACCGTAACCGAAAAACCAATACCCCGTGACCCTACCTGATAGCATGATTATGTTCTTCTCTCCATGCAGCTAAATCATTAATCGAACACAAAACAATGGCACTAAGCCAGTATGAACAAAGGGGAAATAGATACACAAAGACCCCTGAAAAATACCCCGTGAATACAACCTGGTGTTCCAAGAGTATATGACACCAGAATTCTGTAAGTTCAAATGGAACGCCAGCGCGCATTATGTTGTTTGCTTGCAAAGCTGTGTCATTCAAATAGATCATAAATACCATACAAAAACAGTTCAATGCTTAAGTATAAAACAAATGGAAAGAGTGTAATGAATATGCATTTTATGTAGGTGTGCTCAAATGAGTAAAGGTAGGGTCAACGCCAATGGAGATTTAACATTAGTGTCAGCCCCCACTTGGAATTTCTAAACATGATAAATCCAAAAAGGTATGGGTATAGGAAGCTTAAATCAGGAACAATTAGTTTCAGAATTCGTTTGATGAAAAATGGAACCTCCTTGACTTACACCTGTGTGGGTGTTTAAGGTGCTGTAATATAATTCCTCCTATAACATTTAAATGGCACAATGTCTATACAATTATATCATCATCGTGTGCAACGTATTTCAACTGTTATTTTGATACCGAATATTACACTACATGTATTTCAATAAAGAATTTTCTTTTTATTTAAGAATTAAGCAGCAAAATGTGTGAAATTCCATTTCTAATGAGAAATTTTCCATTTTTGACACGTTAATTCATATAGTTCTAAAACTAGTCTATTTTTCTAACTTCTTAAAAAGTTGGCTACGAATAATATCTTTCAACATCAGGAATTTCAAAAAAAATGAAAACCGGTAAATTTGTC